AAAATGAGAATGAAATGTTGAGCTTCTTTAAGATTAACGCACTATGCAAGCATGTGTACTTTTTATATCTCCCGGGTTTAGTTTTTACAACCCGCGTCCAGGTTGCTGTCTCACGTGGTAGTCCCCTAACAGGCTGTCCTGGCGGTGCAGGCGGACCCAGCTGCTTCACACTTCCCTTGCAGGTTCAGATCATCATGCCCATTCATAGTCCTTCTAGAACCCCTTATCCCAGAAACAGTTCTATTTTTTCCTTAATCACTACTACAGAGGCTTTACATTAAATTGCTGTCCCGTGCTAGATAACTTTTGCAAATTGTTAAAAGAATATGTACTTTGGAAACAAATTAGTATTTATATTGTAAATATATGCAAAAAACAAAGAAACGTGTATTTGGCTTTCATTTTTAGATGAGACATTTATGTGATTGAGTGAATTTCTGGTACCCATCGGCAGTTTGTGTTCTGTCTTCACAGCTAACAAAAGGAGAGGGACGATGTCTTGAGCCTCATACCAGTTAATCACTTTCTCATTCAGGGAGGGTCACATGAAAGGCATTTGGCAACTGGGAAAACCACTGAGAAAGGGAATTTGATTGAGAGCATAAGAAGTCTTCCATCCAGCCCCCTTAGAAAGAAGAGTGGTTTTAGATCTTTGTACAGGGACAGTGGGCAACAGCAGATCAGATAACAAGACGCAAATACTGGGAATGCTCAGACAAAGCTGTGAATCAGGTAGAAAATACATGCCATTCAAGTGGGTCAGACATAGGAAACCTGGGAGTCTAGAGCCAAGTGTGCAGTCTGGTATTTGGGAGATGGGAAGGTTTTTATTTGGGGACTCATCTAGTGGATACTCTATACGAAGGTATCTGGACGAGAGTTGGGTGTGTGGCTGCAGGCTGTGGGGTGGTCAGCAAGAAGCCTCTTAAAAATCCCTTTTAAAATACCAGCTTAAAGAGAAAAGCCTATTTATATTCCATAAAACAAAATAAAAACATTTTCAGAGGCACAAATTTATGAAGATCTGTTCTTAATCGTCAGGTGTGTGGAAACAACATGGGATTAGGACCCAAAAGGTTTGGACTATAGTCCTAGCTCTAATAGTATCTGATGGGACTGATTCCAGGAATCCTGTAACCTTTCTGGGTCTGTGTGATTGAGAGGATGTGGTGAGAGTAACATTAATGTGCCTTCTCTTAGATTCTGTCATCTAATTAAGTATTTCAATACATGTATCTAGGCTTCTTATACATTGGACAAAGGTCAATACTGACAATTTTATTTAAAACTTGGAAAATGCCAAGTAGTTAAAACACCAAAATGCCTTTTTTTTTAATTTAAAAAAGTGTTACTGCTACGTTACCCTCCCTAGTGATGCAAAAATTAGTGATGTATGTGTATACAGGTATCTTTTTAACATAAATACCACACTGTAGTCTTTTCAGAATTCTTTCTAGTACCTAGTTTTCCACCTTGCTGGGCATCTTAAAGAAAATTTCAAGAAAACGATTTAAGCATCTGGATGCATCTTTCTAGCCAAGTTTGTGCAAGGGAAACAAGTGCTGGCATGTTGTCCCTCTACTTCTTAGAATCTTTTTTGTCCATGTTGACTTTCCCAGTGAGGTGAGGTTCCCCAGCACTTGTCTCTCTCATTTGCTTGGCACTGTCTCTATAATACTGCTTCTTTTTCTCCCCTTCTTTTGTCATAGGCTGAGACTTTTCCACACTTCCTATATGGCTCCTCTTCGTATTCACAGATTATATCATTAGACTGAGAGCCGGCATGCAGGTAAAGATTCTAGAAGACAACCAGCACTGCTGCCTGTGGTAGATAACAGATCCCCTCACTTACTGCAGGCTTACTGGGCAGTGACTAACAAAATGAGTGATACTTTTCTTTTCAAAGGACCTCCAGGGCACAAATAACCTTCAGAAAGTCTTTGGAAATTTTCTTACCAGATAAGGATGAAAAATATTAACAAGTGATGAAATGGGGACTGGCTGGAAGGTACCATCAGAAGGTTCTCGCCTCCTGCCATTTCACCCCACCAGGTCTCATTCCCAGAGGGCTAAAGAAAGGAAGAAATTTCTTCCTCAAAGACTGCATACTTAGGATCCCTATTCTTCCCTAATCAGTTTTGTGAGTGAATCAATGATTCGTTTTGAAATTTAATTTTTAAAATTTGTGCAATACATGTTTACTCTAAAAACTTTTTACACTATTATATAAAGTAAATGTGATAGCCCCTTCCTCTCTCTGCCCTTCTATCACTTTGCAGAGGTGCAAAATTTTGGTATATGACACTCCATATGGTCTACTAGACCTAGGAACACAGTATCAGTGTAGATGGGAAGGGGAATTTTCATCATGGTAGGCATTCACTCTCAGTCCCTAAGACTGTCTCTGTGTGGCATTGGAATCAGCTCATTCTACTCCATCACAGATTATCTGTGAGAGATATGTGTCTTAAACTTGGACACTGTGGGAGGAGAAAGAGAACATATGAATGCCTACCATGTGCCAGGCACTGTAAGCAATTTGTTATTTAATACTTAGAGCCATAAAACTCAGACAGAGTATGGACATAGTCTACAATGAAACAAGTGGAGGCTTGAACTGCTTGCCCAAAGTCCGCACTGTCAGTAGGTTGAAGAGCCAGGACTGAAATCAAAAGTTAAATCTCATCTTTTCCACTTTACTACACTGGCATTTTGCCACTTTTTTCACTAGTAATTGTGGCCTAGCACTAAAATATACTTTTCATCAATATTCTTGTCAAAAAGTCTATAATTTGCTATGTTATAAGTGATATATAATAAGGCAATGCCTTTTAATCATTAGGGGGGAAAAGATTTTTATGAGAAAGACTTTAGGAAGGCATGTCCTCAAACAACTCTTGAGGCCATTCAACTTAGTATAACGTCAGGAGGCATGCAAATACAGTTGTGGTAAGTTTTAGAAACACAATGTGGCAAGTCTTTTCTGAGATTTTAAATATTTGAAGTTTTCAAAGCTTTTTTCGGTCCCCACTGTTCATCGTTCTTTTTAATTCATTCAAAAATTCCTTACTCCAAAATTTCCAGTTCATACAAAGTTCTCTCATCTCACTAAGTCCCTAGAGAAGTGGCATGTTCCACTTCCAACACTCAAGTTGTTGAAACTTCTCTTTTTACAGTTGTCTGATATGCTTATTCAGGTAATGTTCCCTGGGTTTTGCTCACAGATGTCACCATAATAAACCTCAGAGTTTTGGGCACTCCATATCTCACTTGGTTTCCCTGAGTTGATCTAGTCTCTTTCATTCATTAAAAATGTATTCAGTTCTTGATGTTTGCCACAGTATCAGCAATGATACGGGTAGACTTCCTCTCTCAGCTGTTTGAGGAATGGATGGGGTGTGATAACTGATCTCCTTTA